TGGTTTACGCATGTGACATCAAATGCGTCTTAATTGAAAGGCCCCTGCGCAAGCTTCAGCACTGGCACAAGAGTACAATTTAGTTGGCCCGTATTGTTGTATGACTGACATATGTCGATAGTTTCTCCATGTAGCATGCGACTACGGCCAAAGAATGTTTAGTACCAGCTAAGTACCAAAACAAAAGAAATTAGCCCGGTTAACMGGGTCAGCCCGCTTCATATAATCACGACCTAACAATCTAATATTGAGAAAGGCTCACAATAAGGCCTTATCCCGTCCATTTCGAGCGACCGATGTTTTAGTAAACAAGAGACTCACTTGCGTATGGAACAAAATAAAGCATAAAAAAGCGCCGACATTACAATTATCTCTAAAATTTTGAATCTTTTTTCGATTTGAGCCTCTGTAAAAATGAACCAGAGTGACAAGTCATGTCAAAATCATGCCTTTTTTCACAAAGAAATATTTGTTTCCTGACATTGCAAGATAAACAAGGTCAAAAAGGAGTATATTTTGTTTTTTTGGCGGATTCTGCCTAGTATGAGCTGCGTCGGTGTTTCTTAAGAAACAYTTATGTAAAAAGAGGGCGACTCCGTGGTAAAAGTACCAGGGATGCTCGTCGGAAACTTTTTAAGACCCCTAAAATATCCCGGAAATCTTGAAAAAAGGGCGTGGCTGACTGATTTCTAACTCCTAAAAGATTGCTCATTAAATATTGTTGAATTAAATCAGTTCCATTGATCAGTTCCAATGACGATGATTACATGTTTTTAACAATCAAAGTATATTTTCAAAAACAGTAAAAAAAATTTCTCTCAATGTTAATGTTCGGTACTGAGGTGTAGTGATGGTCCAAAACGAAGATCCTAATAAAAAAAGCKTTACAATTGGCGATTCTTGTTAATTGTAGTCCATGTGTATTACACACACTTTGATCGTACTGAAAGTTAGAAGTTAGAAATGATTTAAAGGTGATTTTAGGGGGATCTTTTTTTTTGGGGGGGGGGTTGGTTGTATCCCACTTTGCTCGTACTGAAAGTTAGAATGATTTAAAGGTGATTTTAGGGGTGTCTTCGTTTTGGATGGGGGATTTGTGCGAAACGAAGACCCCATTAAAAATCCTTGAAACGCTCGTGTTTTGTTGTTATTACGATTTTGAATTGATTTTGTTGGGGTCTTCGTTRTTGGGAAAGGTCTTCGTTTTATGCCCGCGGTTATTCCAGGAATCATTTGGAGCCATTCAACCAAGAATCAAGTCTGGTGATTTTCTGCCTGCCTGTAACATTAGTCAGATTTACATGTATTGATATTTACGATCACTGACAGAATTTATCTTTGGTTGAGAAAGTGACTTGGTCGGCGTGATCCACAATTCTTTTTTTTTTTCTGTTGCTTCCTTGACACTTTTCAAGTCGTGATTATACGCGTATTTTGTAAGGCTTGGGACAATCTTAATGTATTATTCCCAAGTYAGAATAGTACCACGAGTGATCCTTTTAAAAGGAAAGTTCGCCGAATAAAGCAAATGAAAAGCATTCAATTTGACTTTCTTTTTATCATTACATTTTTGACATTAACACACCAAATCAGCATATTGACCACTATTATAATAACGGATGGAGCTCAATCTCACCGTCTTGTCGTGACTTTGGCATTTTTTTGGACACCTTGAGCTGCAATGACTGCTTGAGCAGTTAATTATGTACTTTCGTTGACTTTGAGGACAGAGTTTCAGTGAGAGGTGACAGGCCAGCGATTTCACCGCTCGGCCATCTTTGCTTTCAAATCGTGGTTCTAGAAATCTGGCTTTTATAAGGTATACTAAACGACCCCTACTSGCCCTAGCGACTATAGCGGTTTTGTATAGGTGTGGTATGATCGTCTGGGTGTGAGAAGTCTTGTTGTATTTACCCTGACGTTTCGACATCATGCGTGGAAGTCACTTCTACAACTAAGGGAGAGAACAAACGAGGCACAGAGTCGGTATAAATGCGTAAGGAACTATAGCGGTAAACTAGTGTAAACTGCGTCGGTGTTTCTAAAGAAACAGTTGCGCAAAAAGATAAATTCAACACCGTAATAAACGAGGTGAAACAACTTACTGACGTTTCGGACGTCGCCGTTAATCATTCGTCGGAGTAAAGAGATGAAACTAGGGATAAGTGTGAGTGTACATAATGGTCATAATGAGGGGATCAAAGAAAGTAGACCCCTTTTTCTGATAAACGTGATCGTTACCTTCTTTCTTTCCTAGTCAAAGGTGTTCTTCATTCTAATAAATGATCCTGGCACATTTCGTTGTTTACGTAACATTTGTAACACTTCTTCGTACATTACCCGTACACTTCCATTCTTGGTCCTAGATCATTACCCAGAACCACTGATCGTTTTGAATGTACCTTAACCTCTAATTTGTCTCATGCATTAAATATTTGCATTATAATAATATTAATATAATAATAT